ATTCAAGGTAGCTATTATATAAGCTAAATATGTTTTTACCCTAGTTAATTTTGTTTTGTAGTTTACTTATAGATGATTTAAAAATTGCCTATTAATATTTTAAAGAGGTATTACTTTAAGAACACAACCTGGGCCAACATAAGACAAGGAGTTATCACCTACAGGATAAAGAAATAAACATTAAAGCCCAGTGCTCTTAATATAAGGCTGTTAACTTATTTGCTGGATGTTTAAGATCAAGTTTTAAAATTAATTAAATTAAAAAGGCCAAGAAAACCAATATTCGGCTCTTGCCCTCTGAGTCAGTCTGAATCAGGGAATAGGGAACTTCTCCAAAGGGCTCAGCAACTCTAGGCCACATAACCTCCTGAGCAAGGAGATTAATGAGACCAGTGGAGAACAGGAAGCCAATTGGTGCATTTGCTGTAAAGAGGAGGATCATTAAAAAAGGGAGACATCCCTGATGCTTCTGAGGGAAGCCATATGGTCAAGCAAGGCCTGGACCCATCCTAGCGCAAATGGCACTAGCAGAACTGAAAAGCTGCTATGAAGTTCCCGAGGACTCCCAGGATAACTCAGCTGACTGTAAACAATAGGTAAAAATAAAAGTCAGTTTGACTTGCTTCATCTTAAACACTTAGCAAAGACAGTAAAAGCCAAAGCACAGCTGTTCCTGGACATCTTAAATAATAATAATAATTAAATGTAACTTCCATAAATAAGTAGACTGGAGGCTACAAGAGAGATTCTTAGACAGAAATGCCTGATAACTGTCAAAGGGACTACTAGAATAGTTTTAGTCTAAGGCTTTTATTTCTAGCCAACGCAGGTAGACTTGATGTTTGCTAATATGGTTATCCAGCCCTAAGTAGCAGAATTAAAAATTTCTCTATTAGACACAGAGAAGAAACAAAAGGTTCTCTTGGAAGCTCGCAAAAATGTGCCAGGGGATGACGGGCGCCCCACCCAACTCGCAAATTTGATTAACGAAGCTTTTCCTTTAACCCGGCCAAACTGGGACTATGCGACTGAAGCAGGTAGGAACCACCTACGTCTCTATTGCCAGTTACTCATAGCGGGTCTCCATGGAGCAGGGCGATGGCCCACTAATTTGGCTCAGGTAAGACAGACTATCCAGGGGTCAGAGGAAACTCCGACAGCCTTCTTAGAGAAATTAAAAGAGGCTTATCGGGGGTTTACTCCCTTTGATCCTGATAGTGAGGACCAAAAAAAAAAAAAAAAAAAAAAAAACATTTAATAGGCCTGCCTTCGTCTCCCAGGTAAGTCAGATGGTGGCCAATACATTGGAAATTAATTGAAAATTATATTGTGCTTATAGACCCCAAAGTTCAGGACAGATAAAAAAGATAAATAGAACCATCAAGGAGACTTTAACTAAATTAACACTTAAAACTGGCACTAAAGACTGGGTACAACTCCTACCTTTAGCCTTGTATCGGGCCCGAAACACCCCAGGCCCACATGGACTAACCCCATTTGAAATCCTGTACGGTGCCCCACCTCCCGCTGTTAACTTTTATGAAACTGAAACCTATGCCTCCCTCACCCCATCTATGCAGACTCATTTGCATGCTTTGCAATTGGTCCAGAACGAGGTCTGGAAGCCTCTAGCCGCAGCATACAAAGAGGAACTTAAAACCCCCTTGCTGCCACATCCCTTCAAAGTTGGAGACACCGTCTGGGTACGCAGGCACCAGAGCAAGAACCTCGAATCGCGGTGGAAAGGACCCTACACCATTCTGCTGACCACTCCCACTGCAGTCAAAGTGGACGGCATCACCGCTTGGATCCACACCTCCCACGTGAAAGCTGCACATCCACAGGAGTCCGCAGGTACCTCTCCGGATCCAGAATGAAAGTTGCAACGCACTCAAAATCCACTAAAGATAAGACTCACACGCTGTTGATTTTCCTTGCTTTGTGCTTTGTATTTCCCCTAACGGCTGCTAACCAAACTGTGAGCCAGACATGGCAAATATTATCGGGGACAGGAGATATAATTTAAAACCAAACATCCACAAAATACCCCCTTTGGGCTTAGTAACCTGCTCTAAGGCCTGATCTTTGTTACCTGCTGGCTAAGGCAAAGGACTTTGATGATCCCAGTGAGGCAGAAGCATGCGTCTACAGTGGACACTGCACCTGCATAAAACATCCCACAGGGTGTAGAGCAGCTCTAAGGGAGACACCCTTCTACATATGCCCTAGGGATGAAAAAAACCCAGTCACAGGTACAAAAATGTGGACAACATGAAAGTTACTATTGTAAATCTTGGGGATATAAAACTATGAGGGATATATAATGGATATATGATGGGGATTTAATACAAGTAAAAAAGAAAAGGGACAAGAGCCCCCACTATCTTCCGACTCCTGTAGGAACCTAAAATGGTACGGGGCAGGGCCATGCTCCACGTTTGCCTGCAACCCCTTATCTACTGTAGCTGGCCCCTTGATTATATTACTGTTAATTTTAACCTTTGGACCTTGTATATTCAACAAATTAATGCAATTTATAAAAGGAAGACTGTCTGTAATCCAAACTATGGTCCTCGCGCAGCAATATCAAGTACTCCCACAGCACCCTGAGCCATCAGCTGAGCAAGTGCCGGACTCTGAGCAGGTAGATCAATGGATATAAGATTATATCCCGGATAAAGAAAAGGGGGAAATGAAGGACCTCAAGGACCCAGGCCCCACATTAGGAAATCCAGCCCCT